CCCCAAAACCCCAAAACCCCAAAACCCCAAAACCCCAAAACCCCAAAACCCCAGTTTTTAGACCAAAATTGATTAAATTATTATCGCACAAGATGAAACCTGCTTCAATCCAGAAGTTCTTTACTCGTGATGATTACGAGGCGTTGATCAAGAGTAGGTTATGTTTTGGTGATATGTAGGGTATGACGACCAGAAAGATTGGAAAATGATATTTGAAAGCATTGCTTTTCTGTATGAACTGTCTGAACATGTAAATGCCGGAAGTAGAACCACAGAATTAGGGTGCATTCTGTTCCACATGTTCATGGCCAAAGTGCCTTTGATGCCGTACAATGTCAAGATTGTAGCAGCAGCTTCGTTATACTTGGCTTGCAAACTAGACTCGCCTCGTCCCTCAAATTTGTTTGTGGAGTATACCAACAACAAGAGAAATCCAAATAATCCTGACTCAACTCTGGCTGAGACCAAGGAACAACTGTACCTTGTCGAGTCAAAGATCTTGGTGGAACTCGACTTCGCCCTCGAATTTGAAGTGCCTCGGCTTTATCTTATCCAGTTCGACTTCAACTACAAAGCTGAAGCCAAAGCTGCTATTTCACAGCAGCTGCCTGAGGATGTGGATGCAGACAAAGTGTTCAAGGAACTCTGGAGCATGCTCATGGAATTCGCATCGAAGTGACTCAACGACACGTTGTACTCGCCACTGTGACTGTACTACCACCCAGCTGAGATTGTGGCTGCTTGTCTGGTATTCGTCCACACTTTGATTGTGGTTTCAGGCCAACCTCTAGGTAAGCAGCAATGCATGTTCCATTGTGTTTATTCATGCATCCAAATTGTTAATTCTAATTCAAATATAGAATCACGGCCAAAGCTGCTGGTCGGAGAGTGGTTTACACATCTACACAAAGACATCGACATGGAAGTGGCTGCAGAGTGAGCAAATGAAATCGAGCAGTTGTTCTGACACCTGAAATAATTTCAACTTTTGGTAAAATTTTTGGGGTTTTGGGGTTTTGGGGTTTTGGGGTTTTGGGGTTTTGGGGTTTTGGGG